CATCCATCCATCCATCCATCCATCCATCCATCCATCCATCCATCATCTACATCCATCCATTCCTCCATCTCTCCATCTACCCACTCACCCATCTATTCTTCCAATTAAAAAACAATCATCAAATGCTTAGGCATCTGCTCTAGGCCATGTGCTTGTGGGATAAATGTTCACCAAATAAAATCCTTGCCTCCAGAAAACTCACATTCTAGGGAGACAGGCATCAGCCAAAGAAAGAAAGACCTAAACAGCACTGTCGGGGTGGTGGTGGTGTTTTGAGGGAACAGGATGGACAAGAGGGAGGGGCATGAACATGACTGAGGCTGGGCAGGTCGGAGAAGTCTTCTGGGGAGGTGAACATGAGCGGAGACGGAAGGAAGGCCCAGGTCCAGGGCTCTGCCTGAAGGGCTCTATGCAGAGGGAACAGCAAGCTCAGGGGAAGCCCCCAGCATGCATGCAGACATTTGCTTTCTTCTTCCTTCCCCGACCCATCCCCTCTCTGTCTTTCCTAGGCACAGGCCCATGTGTTGCTCAGGGCCTTGGAACCCCTTGCTGCCCTTGGCCCCAGCCTCCCAGACACCCTGGGGCTCCTCTCGCATGCTCTGTCCTCACAAGGTGGACAGAGTGACGAGGAGGGGTGCCTGGGAGGGCAGGTGCCCAGGGGCCATGCCTCCAGGCCCAGAGAGGGAGGTGTCCCCTCTCCACAGAAAACTGGGCTGAGGGACCCACTCACCCAGCCATCGTGGCAGACGGATGGTTTTCGTGCTGAGGCCGATGGAGTTGCGGAGGAAGAGCCACGTGGCCACCAAGGTGAAGAGGAGGGCAGAGAGGCGGAGCAGGCCTGTGGGCAAGTTCAAGATGCTTGTTCCTGCTGGGCTTCGCTAAAGCAGCTGGAGGAAGGACCTGACAGCTGCTGCAGGCCCGAGGCACAAGAAATGGGGCCAGCAGGCCATGTGCAGGCCTCAGAGCAGCTATGTGAACCTAGGCAGGAGCTCAGCCTTCCTGAGTGGGCATCCATCAGTCGCAGGATGGTTATGGTGATGCCCATGGCCCTGAGGTCGTGACTTGTTGGGAGGGCATTAGAGTTACTGATAGGAGATAGGTTTCAGGGTCACTTGGGGTGGCAGGGTGGCCCCCACATTTTCCATCACTCCCCCAAAAGCCGGAAATGTTGGATTCATGCCGCTTCTTCAGAACTCAGGGCAGCCCTGGGTACTCTGACTTGCCCTTGGGCCTCAGTTCCCACGGCCCGTGGCATGCCAGGTGGTGAGTGAAAAGTGGTCAAACACGCAGCCTCCCTTCATCCTCATACTGGCCTGTGTGCTTGGTGCTACTGACTCCCCTCACTTTACTGATGAGGAAACAGGAGGCAGCCACTTCCCTGTGCTCACTGGGCTAGCAAGTGACAGAAGCGGGGTTGGAACCCCGGAGAGAAGTAAGCTGACTCCGAAACCAGTGCTGCTGTGTTCTGAGCTGTTTGGGAAGGAAAGTGGAGTGTGTGTGCATCTCATGTTTGGTGCCTCAGTTTCCCTGTCTGTACCATGAAGCCTCAAAGGATAAGACAAGGGCCGGGGAGAGGATAGCTCAGTGGTGCAAGTGCCTGATTGGCAAGTGCAGGGTCCTGAGTTCAATACCTGGTACCACAAAAAAAGACAAGGACTGCTGGATCCAACCTCGACTAGATAAATGGCCTGGAGCCTCGGGCATCTCACTCCTGGGGGATGAACTTGATAGCTTGCTTGGAGAAGTCTTGGGTGGTTCTGCCCCTCTTGAGCACCGCCCTCCCTTGTTCTGATAAATAAATATGGACCACCCAGAGAGGATCTTGTCCTAGCCCTGAGAGAACTGGAATTCCGTGAGAGGGCTTTGGTCCTCCAGGAGCCCTGTATCATTCCATTTGCCTCTTTTTTTTAGCCTTTGCCCTACACTTTTTGGGAGATTGCAGACCCCCTCGGTCTACAACAACTAAGGCAGATTATGCACCAGATAATTCTGACAGGCTGGGCCATCATTCCAGCACCTCTCCAGCCCTCAGCCTAGAGGCAGCCTAGTCGCCTCTTTTGTTCTTCCAGCTGCCCCTGGTTTGGTTTCCTTCTAGGATCCTGGCCAGACCACTGGAGAACAGAGACACCAATGCCCCTGAGCCCAGGATGGACAGCTCCTGCTGACAGAAAGTGACTCCAAAATGAATTTCAGAGCCCCACTGTGAGAACCCTCAGAACCAGGTCCTACCTGACACTCTCATCCTGTCCAGGTGAAGAGTGTGGCTCAGGGTCCGTGTTCCCCTAAGGAGAAAAAAAAAATCAAATTGGAAAGGGCACCTGGTGTTTGGACATGAGCAAGAGTGAAGCTGTTCCTTTGCAGCTCTGTCAGCCTCAGCATGAGCACCAGGGCCAGAGTCAGATGTACAGTGCTATTCACAGAGTGCATGCAATGGGACAGAGCGGGTCCCCTCAGGGCTGGGGCCACATAGGGCTGGAGAGTGTGAGAGGGAGACACAGAGGGGCAGCGACCATGATCCCTCCAGTTGGGCTCCTCGCTCCTCTTGTCCTCTGTCTTCACCTCCCTTTCATTCATGGCTCCGGAGGTTTCTGTCAATCACCACACCTTTTCTAAGTGCAGCAATTCAATAGTAGAGGAAGGTGCAGTCTGCAAGCATTGCCTCTTGGATGATATTGTGACTGGTGTCTAGGCGTCTCCTCAAAACCTCATGTGGTCATAGGTAGGGCTATTCATAGGTGGTTGGATGTAGGGTGCGATGTGTGGGTTAAGTATTTGATGCTGGGATTAAGGGTGTGTGATTACAAAATTAGTTCACGGACTGGTCTGGCATAGATCTGGGTGTGGTGAATGGGAAGGCCCACCTTGGATACCGGTGGCAATCCCCAAAGGGTAGGTGGCCTGGAAGGGATAAAACAGAGAGGTAGTTGCTGCTTGCTGCCTTCTGCCTACCCTGCTTTGCCATGAACTATTTCTCCTCTGGGCTGCCCCTCTGCCATGTCACCCTGCTTTGGAGCCAGCCAACTATGGACTGAAACTTCTGTGAACTATGAGCCAAATAAATTTTCCTCCTTTAGTTTTAGGTATCAGGCATTATCTCTCAGCTATGAGAAAAGTAACTGAGATAGATGATTTGATTCATTCACTCATTTATCCATCCATCCATTCATCTATCCATCCATTTACCTGTCTACTCCTTCCTTCCTTCCTTCCTTCCTTCCTTCCTTCCTTCCTTCCTTCCTTCTTTCCTTCCCTCCCTCTAGCCAGCTGGCCAAGACATATGGACCTACCTAGCCCAGTAAAACCATCAGGGAATGGGAGCAGAACCTCAGTGATTTTTGTTGATGTACCAAAATAAAAAGTAATCAGAACTCACATGTTACATTAAGTTGGTGCTAGGTGGTCTGCATCTCTGTAGCTTTGTAACTCCGTACTTCTGTGTCTGTCTGCCTGCCTGCCTGCCTGCCTGCCTGCCTGCCTACCTACCACCCATCTTTTAGGGATGAGGCAAGCTTATGGGGGTTAAGCCAAGGTTATTCAACTTTCAAAGGATTCAGGGCTCCAACTACTGAAGCCTTGACCTCCCCATGGGTCCCATGGCCAGGACTTTTGTCTCAGGAGAGAAGAAACTGAAATTTACTCCTTCCTGAGCCCTGAGCAGGGCCAGGGCCGTCGCTTGCACCACCTCCCCGCCATGTCCCCCCACGTGTTGGCGTGGCTGGAGCTTAAGCAGCTTCAGAAGCCCCCATCCGCCCATGGAATCTGAGGGGAGGGCAGGCGCTGGCAGTGGTGCGGTGGGTCTGGGCTCCTGCAGCCCGCCCCAGGTAGCCCTGCCCTCAGGCCCTTCCCTGATGGTGGCGATCCTGCTTCCACAGCTCTTCTCCCCCCCACCCCCACCCCTGGATCTTCTTCATCCTAAGGGTTCTTCTCGACAGATGAGGCCTCGGTAGCCCAGCCACTGAGGACTTGGGCCTGGGACCCCAGACTGGGCTTTTGCCACCTGCCCTCCACCCTGGGTGTGCCTCTCGGCCTCTCCTCCCCTTTTTAAGCACCCACAAGGGCCAGTATGCAGGCACATTTCCTTCTGTGGGCTGTAAAAGTGCTCCCAGCTGCCCGACTCTCCACCCAGCTCCCAAGACTGAGATTACCAGGCAAGGGTTTATAAAACTTTAACTTCCTAAAACTCAAGTTACCAACTTAATTTTGTCAGATAAAAAGCCTATTAGGCTACGCCTGTGCTGGGGATGAGACTGACAGCCCAGGAGTGCGGGCTCTGGATGAGGTGTGAAGGAATTTCTGTAGAGTCCCTGGCAGGTGGAGGGCTGGGATCACTGGGGACAGCAGGCTGGAGGAGCAGGGCCGGGGCCAGACAGTCACAGCCGTTCACAGAGTGTGTGCAGAGGGACAGAGGGGATCTCATCAGGGCTAGGGTCACGTGGAGTTGGGGACGTGAGAGGGAGGTGTAAAGAGGTCCCACAGAGCAAAGATGGAGGAAGAAGGAGGAAGAGACAGAGGGAAAGCACAGATGAGCATGTGGATACCAGAGAGAAGACGGCGAACATAGCGGGAGCCGGCAGGCGGGCATACACGTGGGCGCATGCTGGCCTCCGGCTGTCATGCCCATGCCAAGCTGGGGTCCTGGCTTTAGGCTGGGGGTGGGGAGGAGCAGGGCCAGCCTGATGTCCCTCCTGGTCATCCCCAGCTACCCACCTGGTGCCTGAAGTCCCCGGGCTGCTCTCCCCGCAGGTGTAGGTGCTATGGAGCTGGATCCAGGACGGACCTGGAGAGTTGGGCAGGGGCGCAGGGCGAGGCAAAAGCTCCCTGCGCAGCCACCCAAGCCTGAAAACAGCGTTTCCTTCTTGCCCAGCGGGAGACTGTGGCAACCTGCTGTTCAGGTTACAATGCCTGGTTTGGCCCCCAGCCCCTGACAAGGCGGGCTGTGGGTGCTCACCTGGGTGGCCTGGGCTGACCCGAATCGCGCTGTGTGCTGCTGCCCCTCCCACCTCCTGGACGCCTCTCCCTCCGTCCTGCCTTCCCAGCCCCTGTTCAGTCACGTGTTTGAGCTCTTTTTGTCCCACTGCAGGCCCTGTGCCCTGTAGGCCTAGGGCTACCCTGGGCATCGAGGAAGTGAACGGTATTTGGAGACCGAATAAATTGGATGCTTATGCAGTCTTGGAGGTTACTATGATTAAACCACTAGCTAGAGGAGGAAGCTAAGGCTCAGAGAGGGCAAGCAACTTGCCTGAGGCCACACAGCTGGTGTGGATCCCAAAACTCTCACTCTCCATGGCAGCCAGGATGGGTATGCCGGGGGAAGATGGCCGGGAGTGAGCCAGGCTCTGCGACGGCGCTGGGCCCTGACACTTGCCCCTTGTCCTCTCTTCTGTGCCTGAACACTCCTGCTCCTCCCTCAGGTCTGTGCAGAAACTACTTCCTCGGGGAAGCCCACCTCCCCTGACCCTGTCACCCAGTTAGCCCATCAGAGTTCTGCAATGTCCTAGTAACTGGCTCTGAAGTGAGTATGTGACCCCAGGAAAGCCCATCAGAGTTATGTGTGGGGTGGAGCCTGGGAAGGAGAAGCCCCTCGACCCCTGGAGATGCCGCACTCCCTCCTCTCCAAGTCTGCGTCCCGGGCCCCCTTTCTCAACTGCCTCAGTGCCGCCCTCCTGTAGATGCAGCTTGTGGTGCTGGACCTATGCCAGGCAGCAAACAGCCTGTGACGCTGTGACACTGGGCTAGAGGGGGCATCTTGGGACCAGACAGACATCAGCTGTGGCTTGCACACTGGGGTACTGCTGCCCACCCCCCAGCCTAGAGTCTTCCCTCTGTAAAATGAGAGCAATGCTATCTGCCTGGACCGGAGGGGTGTCAGCGGCCAGGTGACAGTGAGTCCAAGGCCTGGCCAGCCTGCTGTGCCCGCCCCAGCGCTGTCTATTTGCAGGTTGGTCCCCCCTGCTGTTCCTGCTAGGGCACTTCCTTGGCAGGACTCCCAGGCCTCCGCTGTTCTCCTCCCAGCCCCGGGCTGCTGGGCTGCTTAGTGGTGGCATTTCTTTTCTTTCACTTCCTCCCTTTATGTTTCATTTTTCTTTGTTGCTTTTCCTCCTTCCCTTCCTCCTCCTCCTCCTCCTTCTTCCTCCCTCCTTTCCCTTCTCCTCTCCTCTTCCTCCCTCCCTCCTTTCCTTCCTTCTTCTCTCCCTTTTTCTC